TAAAGTCGCTACAAAATGAACCTTACCTTCATCAAGACCCTTACCTTCAATTCAGTCAAATTAGAAGTTATTGCAATTTCATTGCTCATTACACTAATCTAGTTAACTTTCATATGGATAGATGTCCTTAGTGGATGCTAATCTACTTCTGTCATTTTTCTTACAGATGTCAAGCCACAAACCTACTACAAAACCTCTTGCCATTGTGCCATCTAGTCAACCCATTGTTGCACCTCCAATTGATCTAGTCAACCGATACCAAATTCTTGGAAATATTCCTAATCCTAGTTACACTTCGGCTCTGGCTTCAGACCCTTTTGCCTGCCAGTCAATTATGCCAATGCCTCCTAACAAGTCTACCCTAAGAACATATTATGTTCTTAAACAGTCATTTAATCTTTTTTACAAAGAACTAGTCCTCAAAAACAACCATGATGTTCTTCAATTAGTCAAATCATATTTCCCTAATGGATGGTATTTCATTCATTTCCATCCTGATAAGTCAATAACCTTTTATAAGGATATTATTTTCCACCATAAGTCAATAGTCATTAAACCTATCTATGATCGAGTCTAGACCAGTAAAATCATTTATCATTCATTGTACATTCATAACATTATTTCCATGGAAGAATGAGGTCTCCTTTTTCTACTACAAAACCTTCCCAACCATGATATACAATATAGTTACTATGATTACATTGATGCTTGGTGCAAAATCCTCCTACATCAAAATGAGTCATATAGTCACTCTTGGTTTTTCTCATTTGACCACAAATTCAAATCAAAACTCCCTTCTTGGCTCCTGAGATGGTGGTTACAGCATGGTATCGTCCCAGAAATCATCATTTCTGAGTTAATAGAACAAGTCAATTACTTCTCTTCAATTTACAAGCTCAGCCAGCATAAAAGTCAGTTTCCTTGGTTACTCCATATTATGTCCAAGTATAAAGTCCCTTGGATTTTTAAATGGCAATACAGTCTATCCAATAACATAGTCAGTCATCAATATTTTGTTAAATGGTAGGATGCATTCAAAGCCCATCGTATTATTGAACAAGTCCAGCAAGAATTTCTAGTTAACATTCATGCCCCAACTCCTGTAGTGGTCAAGTCTCAGCAAAACCCAAATGCTTCAATCACACAAGAAAGCCCACTTCCTCTCACAACAATCAGACTTGGAAGCCCATCAACCAGTATTGAACCTTCCAAATCCAAGTCCTCCAAGCCCAAGTCAACCTTTAGTGATGAATTGATCCAAATGGCCAAATTATTGATGGCCCAAGCAAAGTCACAAATTAAAGATGAGGCCTCAGATGATTCGGCCTCTTCTAAAGCCTCAACCAGTCATGATTCATATGGTCCACAATTTCAAGATGCTCAGGACCCATATGCCTAAAAAAGTCATTGGATTATATATATATACGTCAGCTTCAATCACTACTCTTATTTTGAGAAAAACTACTGATATATATTGATTTCCTATCAGTCAACTGTGCAGTCACATTTCCTCACTGCAAGTAAAAAAAAAAAAAAAGAGTAAAAAGTTCTCGGTCACAGAAAGATGCTCTCAGCACCCATGTGCCTCTTATTTTCAGGCTTTTCAAGTCACAAGTTTGACAGTATTTTCTGCTTTTTAAGTCACAAGTTTCACAATATTTTCCAGCTTTTGAAGTCACAAGCCTCACAGCTCCAGTCGCGGGCCTCACAGTCCCCAGTGCACAAGCTTAACAATTAGCCACTTTGCTTATAAAAGAAGCTTCTTAGTCAAGACCAATTTAGAGTTGGAAAGAGTTCAAAATTTTCTTTCTCAGTTTCTCTCAGTTTCTGTAAAATATCTAGTTTCTTGTTTTAAAATTCAGTTTTTAAAGATGCATGTAGAAGCTATATTTTCCAGTTACTTCCAGTAAACAATTCTGTATTTTCTGATTACTTCCAGTAAACGATTGTAAGTTTATTTTATTTCTGCTTATCTGTTCTTATTTAAAATATTCTATCTATTTTAATTTAGTTTATTTGCTTTAGTTTATTTAATTTAGCTTATTTATTTACTTTCGTTTATTTACTATTTACTTTCGTTTATCTGTTCTATCAAAAAAAGTATCTTAAACATACTAATTTTTTTTTATCTTATATTTTACATATAAAATAAAAATTACTAAAACAGTTTATTCCCAAACGAATCTTATGATTTATCATAAACTAAAGTGAGAGTGAATTTATCATATAGAGTTATGAACTAAACTAATGTGAAAGTGAATTTATCATAGAGAGTTAAAGTGAATTTTGTCTATCAAAAAAATTATGAAAATATTTATCATTAGCAAAATGATATTACTTATATACAAAAATATTTTAATATTTTCTCTTGAGTTGTTAACATGTGTACTTTTATCCATAAATCACAATATGAATAATGAAATTTACCCTGTTAATAAAAAACAAATAAATAACTAAAAAAAAAAAAAACTACCATGGTGGGCCCATTTTTTAGCCGACTTAATAATCTAAATAGTTCATTTTATAATAGAATATTCATGTAAAAATTAAGATGATTGAATATCGGTAGCTATATATTTGAATCATATTTATATTAAAAATAAATAAATAACTATTCTTAAAATTATATTTATCGTCTATTTTTTTAAAAAAAATGTAATTCAAACATATAGGTATCGATTTTTTATCATCTTAATTTTTTGCATTAATATTCTACTCAACAAGGTTTAAAATATGAATGGTTTAGATCACCGAGATCGGTATCAAAATAAGTCCACCAAACTCAAATGCTCTCTAAAGTTGGATGACCAACTTAGAGAATCCAACCCCAAAAAATAACCTAGCATTGGATCATCAATGTAAAACCGTACAGTATTTAGCATGTTATACAATCAGCATTTCTATGGGGAGGCTTTGACTTACACTTTGTGAAGTGGAAGCAAACCACAGTGAGTAGAAATCATGGAGGACTAGGTATTAGAGACATTAAAGTAGTAAACGATAGTCTACTTGCAAAGTGGTGGTGGAGGTTTGAATCTGAAGATGGTGCACTATGGAAGAATCTGATTTGTAAAAAGTATGGAGCTGAAGGTGGGAGATAGTTTCCTTTCCATATGGATGCTTGTTATAGCTCAAGGATCTGGGGTGATATACTATCAGTAGCACATTCCAACCCTACACTCTTTAATTTTTATATGGAAAATGTTGAAATTGGATTAAGTTCAGAGAGGATGCTTGGATGGGTAGGTTCTATTTGAAAGATAAATACCCAAGACTATTTAGTGTTTCTATTGATTAAGGGGTAACACTAAAAGAAATGGTGGACAGAAAAGGTAATTATGATGAATGGACTTTCAGTTTTAGAAGAATTTTATTGGCGTAGAAGGAGGAATTAAGAAATTTGAAGGAGGAATTAGGATCGACCAACACTTTACATGTGAAACTTGGATAACATTAGATGGAATGCTAATAGTTCTAGTTGTTTCAGTGTAAAGTCAGTGTTCAACTGGTGTAAGCTGAATAATGGATCTAGAAAAAGCTTATTTGGTTTAATCTGGAGCAATGCAGCAGCTTCAAAAACACAGTTCTTTGCTTGGTTGGTATGGAAAGAGAGAATAAAGACAATTGATTTTCTACATAAGATTGGGGTTATTGACACAAGAGTGAGATTATTCTGTGTTTTTTGTAGAACAAATGAGGAGTCATTAAATCATTTAATGTTACGCTGTCCTTTTGTGTAGAAAATATGGTCTAGCATAATCCAATGATTGGGAGTGCAATGGGTCATACGTGGTACAGTGGAAGGTATGCTTCAATGGTGGAGTGGTTGGAAGTTTCAAAAAGGGGAATTACATATAGAAAGCAATACCAGTAGCAATCTTTTGGCCTATCTGAAAGCACAGACATAATGTTATTTTTAATGAGGTACAACCCAATAGTGAAGAGACATGTGATCTTATCAAGGTTAGGGTGGCTATGTTGTTGAAGTCAAATATGGTGGGAAGAGATTATTCAATTAATCAGTTTGGGTCAAACTTGCAACAGATCAGGAGATGTATCAAGTGAGGCGTAATGGGGCTGCTAATGGATTGGAGTGAACCTAGTTGTTGTTAGTTGCTGTTGTTGCTAGTGGTTGTGGTTGTTGTGCTATGCTTCGGTCTTGGGCTGCTGTTGATTGTTGCTGCTACAAAGTTGTTTTTGGTGCTGTGCTGTTGTGTTGTTTTTGGTGTTGTTTTGATATGCTAATTATTGTTTGTTTCTTGGTTTTGAAAACAAATGATAGATTGATGGGATATTGCTATGCAATTTTGGTGATTTTTTTTTTTATAATATATATCAGCAAAAAGAATCTTTATTGGTGGAATCATATAAAAAGATAGAGTACATCAATAAAGAGGAGCGAGGAGCTCCAGTTGGAGAGAATCCAACACAAAGAAAAAACCAAAAAAACAGAAGCAGTATACACAACAAAACAGCAACAGAGCAAACTAGCAGCATACAACAGAGAAGGCAGCCACCAAGCATATTTCCAGCAAGTTGCACACCACTCAGCACCCAAAACTGAAACAAAAGCCAAACTAAACCAACAAACAGACCATTAAGGATGCAACTGACCGACACCCAACTCAGAGCATCAACCCTTCATCTCTAATCCTTAGCACCACAGAACTTCACTGAGATGAATCAGCAGGTCTATCAGCAGAACACTCTGAGAGCCACCTAAACAGCAGAGGAATTTTTCTACAGATTAATATGTAACATTGGTTACTATATCTGAATTCAACTTTAAAGTGCCTATAGAGTAAGTAGAGCACAAAGCAAACTTTCATCAACCCAACCAACACTAGAACTTAGAAACTAAACTGCAGAACTAATATCAAACACATTGTAACTGCAGAAACAGAGGCAAAGCTTCAACACACACAGCAGAAAACATACTGCATAGATTCAGACAAAGCCTGCAGAAGGACTGCTTAGAAAAATAGGCCTCCTCATAAACTTCACTCACTGTAGCCACCTCCCAAACTAAATCTGATGCGCTCTAGATTAAATACGAAATCATGAACTGAAAACATATGTTCCTTAAATACTTCCTTGAACCACACAGCCATTTTTAACTTAATCAGATCCGTAATCCCATCCACACTTGGGACAACCTCCCGAAATAAGCATTCATTATGATGTTTCCATAAGGACCACATCACAAGTAAAGGAATGGCATTCCACATCATCCTTTCCTTTTTGGTGAGACCCACCCCTGACCACCATTCAAGAATGTCCTCTACTGAGGCTGGCAATGCTCCTTGAACCTTCCACCATCTAAGCATTTCATACCACACTCTCCAAGCCACTAAACATAATAGAAGCACATGGATAAGAGACTCAGCTCCAGATTTGCATAGACAACATACTACAGATGCACCAGCAGGCAGAACACCAATCCTGTACAGAAACTCAGCCGTCTTTTGTTTTCCTTTCCAAGCGAGCCATCCAAAAAATTGAACTCTGGGTGGGACATGTTTAACCCAAATCCTTTTGCTAACTGGGCTGCAATTACTAGAACACTCAACCAAGAATTTATACATAGATTAAACTGAGTACCTTCTAAATTCCAAGGCTTTCCAAACAATAGCATCTTCTAAGTAACACCTAATAACAGGACCTGCCTCAATCTGATTTACCAATCTGATTACCTCCTCTCTTTCCCAGTCGAACAGAGCCCTTCGAAACTGAAATACCCATTCACCAGCTTCCTCTTTCCTGACCATCATAGCAGATAATGACACTCTCTTATCAACTACTACCCTGTACAACAGTGGAAATGCATCTTTAAGGCACAAGTTTTCACACCACTTATCCGTCCAAAACTTGATTCTATGACCATTGCCCACTTTCACCTTACAATTGTCCAGAAAAATACCCACCAGGTTACTACTCTGTTTAGACTGTAGTAGTATATCCTTCCACATTTTAGAACATCTCACATTAGAGGTTACTTGAGGGCTCCAATTCCCCTCATCAATCCTATATTTACTGCCCAATACTCTCCTCCACAATGCTTTATTTTCCACACCAAACCACCACCACCATTTCAACATAAGGCAATTATTAACTTCCTTCACTCTCCTAACCCCCAAGCCCCCTTGGTCTACAGGCTTCGCCACTTCCTTTCATTTTACTAAATGAACCCTCCTCTTCAATTCAGATCCACCCCACAGAAAAGAAGCTTGAAGCTTGTCCAACTCTCTGGCAATCCCCTGAGGCAACTTAAACAATGACATGTAATACAAATGCAGCGAGGAAAGAACAGATTTGATTAAAACAAGTCTCCCAACAAACAACAGCAATTTCCTTTTCCAACCAGCTAGTTTACTTATGAATTTGTCTAGTATAGGCCGCCAAGTTGCTTTCCTACTTAGGTTAGCCCCCAGCGATAAACCAAGGTACTTAAATAGCAAACATTTAACTTCACAGTTCAACACTGATGCATACTCAGCCATTTCCTCTTCTGGAATACCCATACCACTAATTACACTTTTATGGTAATTTATCTTCAAACTTGATATCAACTCAAAGCACCTCAAAATCTTCTTTACATTCTTTATCTCCATTATATCAGCTTCACACAATAACAAAGAATCATCTGTGAACTGGAGATGAGTAAGAAACTAACCCATCAGAGCCAATCTTCACCCCCTTTATCATCCCCAGATCCAAAGCTCTATTCAACAAAATGCTTAAACACTCTGCAGCTATGATGAATAGAAATGGGGACAAGGAATCCCCTTGTCTTAGCCCTCTCTGTGGACTGAACTCCTTAGTAGGAAAGCCATTAACAAGCACAGATAGCCTAGCTGAGGTAATACATACCTTAATCCATTCCACCCATTTTCTCCCAAACCCAAAATTAACTAACATGGAGAGCAAGAAATCCCAATTCAGTGAGTCATAAGCATTCTGAAAATCTAACTTAATAATCACTCCTTTCTTTCTAGACTTCTTCCAACTGTCAACAACCTCATTGGCCACCAAAACACCATCCAGAATATTCCTGCTTCCCATAAAAGCTGATTGGTTTTCACTTACGATCTGAGGAATCACTGCCTTCAGCCTTGAGGACAGAACCTTAGAAAGAATTTTATATATCGACCCAACCAAACTGATAGGTCTATAATCAGCCAACCCCACTGGATTCTCCTTTTTAGGTACCAAAGTAATGAAAAAGCTATTGATTCCTTTGACCAACTTACAGTTCTTATGGAAATCGAACAAATAATTCAGCACATCAGACTTCATTACCTTCCACACTTTCTAAATGCAAGCCAAGTTAAAACCATCTGGACCTGGAGCCCTAGTCCCATCACAGCCCTTGACAGTTGCCCATACCTCTACCTCAGTAAACTTTGCCTCCAACATATCAAAACAAGGACTATCCCTCACTGACTTAAATGGACCTACCAATACAGGCCTATGCTGTCAATCCTCAGAATACTGCTTCCGAAAATAAGCTAGGACCTCAAGCTTAACTCTACATGGATCATCAACCACCACATCACCAACAGTTAGAGTATTAATTTCATTTCTCCCCTTCCTATACTTCACTAACACATGAAAATATCTTGTGTTTTTATCACCATAAAAAATTCCAGTTAAGCCTCGATTTTTGGAACCACAACCTTTCCACCATTCTTGTTAAATAGCCAGCTTCAACTTTAGCCTCTCTTCTTCTATTTTTTTCTGCCTCTTCAAGCTCTCTTTCCTCTGCTAACAAATCAATCATATGAAGCTCATCCTCTACCTTCTTCAACTTAGTATTTACTTTGCCGAACACTTCACTATTCCACTGTTTGAGTGCTAATTTCAACTCTTTCAATTTCTGGAATAACCTAAACCCAGCCCACCCTTCCACCTGATGCTCGCTCCACCATTTTTCCACAAAAGGTAAGAACTTTGGGTGTAACATCCAAGCATTAACAAACCTAAATGACCTAGGGCCCCAATCTCTCTCATCTTCCATTAGCAGTAAAGGACTATGATCAGACATTACTCTAGGAAGCCCCCACAACTTCAAATTAAATGTTTCCACCCATTTTGGATCCACCAAAACCCTATCAAAACTACTCCATTTCTCCCCTTCCCTAGCATTACACCATGTAAACCTTCTGCCTAATAAAGGCAAATCATTCAGCTCACTTCTATCAACAAAGTCATTCAACTCCTTCATCCCCTTATCTCTCCTAGAGCAGCCTTTCCTCTCTCCAATCTTTCTAATTTCATTAAAGTCCCCCTCTATATACCAGGGCTTAGAATACTCCTCCCTTAACTTTAGAAGACACTCCCACAGTTTATCTCTTTGACCCACTTCATTTGGTGCATACACATTGATCAAGACACAATCAAAGGAGAAGAATAAGGACCCAGAGAGAAGTACAAACCTTCTATTACAGCAGCAACTTGACATCTGAAAAACTCCTGGATCCCAAATGCATAATAGGCCACCAGTAGAGCCCTCAGCATCCACAGTCATATATTCCATTCTATCCCTAGCCCAAATCTCTTTGATCTCCTTTTCTGACATGGAGTCCTTCATTGTCTCTTGAAAAAGAACAATATTGTAACGCCCTCAAAATAATAACATTAAACCCAACAAATAAGACATGCATTGATATTCAAAAGTTCCTCATTCTTTCATTTATCAGGATCTCTTAATTTTACTCTTTTTTTCCTTTCTCCCCAAACCTCTGACATTCCATGTTAGTAGCTTCATCATAACCATTTACACTGAACTCTGACCCCCCAAGATCTATATTAATCCGTAGGAACTACATCCCCTCCCCTTCATGCTCTATCCTTTGCCTCAAGGGCCATAATTTTGGTCAACACTTCCTCTTCTTTACCTTTATAGTTTATACCCAGCAGCTTTCCCATCTGAATAGTTCCCTGAGCCTCTTTAAGCAATGATTTGCTTCTAGCTACTCCACTAGCAGTTGAATCTGAACCTGATGCTGCCGCAGCTGCTGCTCTCCATAAAGCTCCTTTCAGACCCAATTTACTAGAGGATGCTCCTTTATGATTATAACTTTTTGGAAGCTTAAGATACCCCTGTTTCATCTGTATGATCTTCTTTCCACTGGATTTTGTAACTACTCTCTTCCTCCTTCTATTCTTCTGGAGTTTTTTCCTTGAGCTTAATTCGTTACATTGTGTTTCAGATAAGTCTGAACATATTATTAAAGGGCTTTTTACAACCTGAAACCCACTTTGAAAACCAGCCTTGAAACCTTGGGTTTGCATCTCCCCCCCTGCCCTCATATCCACAAGCCCATTACATAGACCCACCTCATTACTCCGACCCAGCATCACCTCTAGATAGACCCCCTGTTTAAGTATAGTAGATCTACTCAAGCTTTTGACAGCACCTTGCGTGACAACCTGCTCCTTACTTTTCTGACCTACCACCTCACAACCGTTGCCTATGCTCCCAGCTACTTTCATGATGCTATTTACTATGCCCTCGAGCTCATTACCAGTAGACTCCGGTTCCACAATTTCAGACTGCCTTGGTAACTCCATCTTCACATCATCGCTACACCTCACTCTTCCTGGCCCATCCCCAATACACACCTTCTTAGATTGGTCAAGCTCCCTAGCTGACTCACCATCCCGATCATCATCTTCTACAGCCACATCAGTCGCCATTACTTCTACACCCACTTTCTCACCATTATTTGAGCTGCAAACTCCTTCCCCACCATGTTCCATAGAGCAATCACTCCTCCCGACCAATATCTTTGGCAACCCAGATAAATGTTCCCACACTCTCACAGTATAGGAATAACCTTTGCACTCCAGGTTGATTACTTTATTAATAGGCTCCATACACTTTGTTAAAATTTGAATCCTTGCATATTCAAACAATTCTGGGTTGCATATATCACCTTCAATACAAATAACCTCCCCCCATAAATTCCCAATTCTATTTAAAGTTGTTCTATTCCATAAACTCAATGGGATCTCAAAGCAGCAGGCCCACACCTTACGTTCACCTCCACTGTGAAAATCAAGATTCCACATCACAATTTCCTAGCGCCAATCCCCTAACCATTCCTTCACAATTCCCAAACTATCTTCCCTATACTCCTTAGATTCGAATGTTAACAACACATCCCTACCTCCTTCATCCCTCACTAGCACATTCTCCATGCCCCTCTGCTGTAATTCATATTTAATCTTAACATTGGCACATTCAACTTTAAGACGAACTACCACATTTTCATATACCCACCCGTTTCCGACTTCCTCTGTCTGGACAGACATAATTCCACTTTCCATACCATGACTATTCTTGATGACCTCTGCATACGTACAAACACCTGCTGCTGGCTTCCACACACTGCATTCGCCCCTTTCACCATGTGGAAAACCTTTTGTTTGAGGAGGATATCGGGTTTTGACTTCCATATCTTTCTTACCATAGTCTGCGTGCTTCACTACCAGTTGCTTATCCTCCACCCATATCCCATTGGCCTTCTGCACTGCTATTTCTACTGCCACTTCACAATCATACCGGACAAAAGCAAACCTAGTGTTCCTCACTCTCATTCTCTTCAGAGGAATGTAGACATCCTTCATCACTCTAAACTTCTTGAATATTTCCCCCATCATCTTCAAGTACATAGATCTAGTTAGATCATCAACAAAGATCATGAATAATCTTGCATTAGCTTCCTTTCTCCATCCTCCTTTACTTCCTCTCTGATTCAATACCGGAATCCATCCTCCTTTCTCCATTCGTACAATCTTCCTTTTTTTCCTATTTTGGTGATGTTTTGATACGTCAATTGTTGTTTTTTCTTGACTTTGGTTGGTAGTTCACCAACTTTTGATGGTGTGCTAGCAAGGAATTGGGTGGACATAATGGTGCCAACCTAGTTAGGATTGGTATGTCTCGCTATGATACGTTTTGCACCCATTTTTTTTTTCCTTTCTTGATATAATGAATTCTTTGTTCATCAAAAAAGGTTTTATTTTGCCAATAAAAAAAAGAAGGTGAATTTCTTTTTTCATAATTTTGATATAATTATTCTAAATTTCTTTTCGATAAGATTAAATAAATCAAAATTAATATTGATGGTGTAAAAATAAATATATATATATATATATATTTCAAAATAAAAGATATGATAAAACCTTTTTTTTTATCTATTTGATTAATAAATTATTGATAAAAAATAGATAAAGTGTTATATAAATTAAAATTTAAAAACACTCAATACAATTATGCTAAAAAAATAGAATTTGCTACATTTTCTTTAAACTTTTAAAGGGATGAGTATAATTTGCCCTTTTAAATTATGTTCAACATTCTGTACTGTCTACCTATTTAGAAGTTATGATGACTACTGAGTGGTTTCAAACTTCGACTGAGCTACGGCCTTGGATGATTTAGCTTGTATTTTTTTTCTTTTTTTATAGACAAACATGGTGCTTCGGAAGTGTCTAATAATTACTATAATTGTAAATATTGCAGGGCTTGGAAAGTAGTCAAATACTAATTGTGAGGAAACATAGTCTCTTCATTATAAGAAAGAATACAAAAAATCATCAACATTAATCAAAAGGATGATTGAATTACACTTTTTTTTTTAGACTGGAATTAATTTACACTTAAATTATCAATTGACACAACAAATAAATAAATAAAATAAAATAATGAAGAATACAATATTTTCAAACACTTGGAAGCTTAATCAATTAATTATTCACAATGTGGCAATTCTTCCTAATCTCACCATGTTTGCCAGTGAGGACGTCAATGTAACCCATACGCACCATAGCAGAAGCAAACTTGGCCTCCCACTTGGAACCATATTTAGCATTGTCTATCACTGCCTTAGCCGTTGAAGGGCTGCCTAGTAATGTCTGGTCTGAAGTCAGTACCCCACGGTGCTTCTTCAATACTTTGTAGTACTTGTTGTCCAAACGATTTGGCGTTAGAACATCAAGAGCAACTGTTGGATTGATGGCAGCACCGGCGGTGCTTGGTGGGCACTTTGTTTTCAAGAATGCTGCGTAGTTTGGATCCATGGAAGGATCTTGTGGGTGAGTGGCATTGAAGGAGTAAAGGCGGGTGGAGAAGGAAGAGCAACGAGACACACCAATGGAGTGAGCACCAGCGAGTGTCACCATCTCGTCACGTGACAATCCTTTTCTGGCAAAGTTATCCTCCAGCTGTGTGGCGTTGAAGAAGGGAGCCGGTAGATTTTGTGGAATATCATCACTCAAAGACACACGTCCATCACGACGTCCTGCTGGCACGGCATAGTTTATCCCTCCAACCATGAAGGCACTGTCGCGAGCAGCGAAGGCAACAATGTCCGCGCATGAGACAGTTTTAGGGCATATGGCTTCAATTTGGGCCTTGGCTTCATCAATCACCTTGAACCCTCGTAAGCTTGGGTTATTGGCTGGATGTTCTTTCTCAGCCGGTTTTCCTGGTGTTGAATCGAGTAGCACAGAACCATCACAACCCTGAAAAGTAAAAACATTTAGTAACATTAACTAACGGTGGGTGCGAAAGTAACGGTGTTTTCAATTCGAACTATCTTTTGAGTTGTGTTTTTTATATAATAATATAGATAAACAATAAATTATTTTATGAGAATGAAACTACAATAACATATATTAATTTAGGAAAGGGTATAGGATAGGCGCATACCCTGACAAAGCAGTCATGGAAATGCATCCTAATGAGGCCTGCAGCAATGCCTGGATTCTTGGAAATGGCTTTGCTCACAGCTTTTCTAACAATTGCCTCAGCAGATGGACAAGTTGTTTGGTAGAATCCCAGTTTGAGTGGTACCACTACTGGTGAAGCCATAGCAGAGATAGAAAATGAGAAAATCAAACAGGAAGAGATCACTAGTGCAAGGACTTGGAACCTAGAGCAATTTGGATCCATATTTAGAACGAGAGAGGCCGATTGAAGAAGAGCTGACAAGTATGTTGTACAAAGCTGAAGGAGACAGCTACTAGTAGTAATTGCCAGATATGGAGATAAATAGTTGAGGTGGATAGAGAAGGCGATATAGGAAGCATATATATAGATAGCTAAGTGGGTGGAGGAGAAAGATGATTGATCACTTAATAATTCTTAAATGCTTCTTGTAATGTGAAGGGTGGAGTTGGTTTTACTTTTGAAACCAAAACGTGTGTAGTATTTATTAGCTGTATTTCATTGCACAACGCAATGTTGAAGTTTTCTTGAGGTTGTCTGTCTTTGAACACTTCTACCACCCTTCATTAAGTGAATTGTTTATGTATTAATTAATTTCTTTCTATATAAACTCTTATTTTTTGGGTAATTACTAAATAGTTTTGAAATATCATATGACATTATTTACATGGTACTCTAAACCAATCACTTAATAAAAAAATTTATATGTAAGAATTATAACTGATACAAAAAAGCTTCTTATCCAATTTTTGGGGCTGCAAAAAATAAACTTTGTCAGCCTCTGACCAGTAAGCAAGTGAAACTCTACTATCCTTGCATTACCCACTTCAAATTAATCAAACTAAAAGCAAGTCAAGAGCAGCTTCTTAGAGTCAGACATGGCAGTTTCATCACTCTCAATGACCTTGGCCCCATCATCATCATCCTCCTCCAATAGGGTCAGCCTAATTGCTCTATATGTGAATTTCATTCAATATAAATATATGTATGTGAATTTGATATATAATTATATACAATGTTTCACAATTTTCAGTTCAATGTGCCCCATTCATACAGTTGAACTAGGGTTACTGCAATTTTTCCACAAAACATTATCACATGTTCAGGAGACACAACTTATGATGAAGACAGTAAGATTACCACTCTTTATCTCTTCACTTTTTCTTCTCCCTACAAATCCCTTCACATATCCAATATCCAAACATAGCTCAAGCATTTTACTTCTTGTTTTTTATGAGTGACATGGGATTTGCTTATATGTCTTTGATGTAATAATGATTTCTTGAAGAATTTACTTCATAACAAATTCTTCTGGTCTTGTGAATTCTGAAATTAGGGCTGTAAATTTGATGCAAAATTGCTAGTTATGCCAAAGCTCTTATGATTAGTTTGAATTGAGATGGAGGTATTTGTGTTAATGCATTTCTCCAAGCTCTTATGATTACATTATTTTCATGAGGAATGGCATTTTGCTTATGTTATCTTACAATCCTATGCATAATTTTTGTTTTTTAGATATACCACATTAATGTGTGCATAATTTATGAAGTCTGTTGTTTAGGAATTTGATTTCAGAGGGCACGATTCTGCATTCAAAGACCGATATCTGCAATTACAAAATGTTCGGGTGAGCGTTGGGAATGCCCTGCACTCAAATTTCTCTGACAACCCTGACCAAGAATGTATCCTTGCCACAATTTTGCATGTACAAACACATATATCAACACACATGCATTTGAAAAAGAGATGGCATGTAAACATACATTACATGCATAGATGAGAAATTATGTAATGGATTGAGAGTGATCAATAATTATATTCATAATGTTAATGGATTTACCTGGCTAAGTATTCCATATATATATTATCTTGTTTTCCCTGAAAATGTGACTACTTGACTGTGTTTCGTAGCTATTAAACAGGAAAAGCTGATCCTTGGAATGCTGAGCCCTATCGATGAATTCTCCAACATAAATAGTAGGAACAACCAGTGAATGATACTAAACAGAAAGCAAAGGTGTGATGTCTGAAAGTTGATTGCTTGAAGAGGTAATATGTTAGTAACTTGAGATCCTTTGTGATTGTTAATGTTAATTGGATGGTTATAGGCAATGTATGAAGAAGTTTATGACAAGCTCACATGTGATTGATCCGTGTTACATCTAGTGATTCTTTAAGGATGTATGGCCTGCAGCCCATCGTTTTGGCCCGGGTCCAGTCTCGCCCTCCTATCTCAGGTAAGGCTAGATATATGGAAAAAAATTGGATTAGTTTTACTTAGCAACTAATCATGATTAATGGGTTTGTATTGTATTTGGGTTTATATAGGTGGAGTGACATCTATGGATTCGTTTTTGAAGAAATTTTTTCCATCTGTGTATGCGAAACAAAAAGAAGATTCTTCGACGAATCAGTATTGTAAATTTGATAGTTTCACTCTGACAATGTTCACTTCGTCTCTGTATTTGGCTGCTCTGTTATCGTCTCTCGTTGCTTCGACGGTGACAAGGAAATTGGGGAGGAAATTGTCGATGTTGTTCGGAGGTTTGTTGTTCTGTGCTGGAGCTTTTGTTAATGGGTTTGCTCAGGCTGTTTGGATGCTAATTGTGGGTCGTATTTTGCTTGGTTTTGGTATTGGATTTGCCAATCAGGTAATAAATACCCTCTCTCTCTCTCTCTGTCTCTCTATAATTTCAACTTGTTCTCTCTAGGATATGTACAGTACATGTATATGCTTGTTTGGATATTATTTTTGCTTTGTTTTTGGCTCAACGAGAAGAACAAAACTTGTGTTAATGGACTACAAACTCAGGAATTTTCATTCAAAAAGAAATAATAGTTAATAGTTCAAAGTTATTTCACCGACAATTTAATCTTTTACCACACAAATTAATTCTCGGTAAATTCTAGTACTATAAATCTGGGTTACTAGCTTTTTACTTTGTAAAAATACAACACAACAGAGTTTTGGAATTTTATTTACTTTGCGTTTGTCTTGACTCTTGTAATATATGTTTTTTTTTTTTTTTTTAAATGTTTCATTGCTTCTGATTCTTACAATTACGAAAAGTGCCTCCAATGCACTATTTTCTTCAGATCTTTTGCAAAAGATGACAGATATGTGTTTTTTGGTACAGAGCTAAAGTCTGATACTCTGATCCAACTAAGTTCTTTTGCAGATCTCTTGATTCACCTCTCTCTCTCTCTCTGATGCTCTCACTTCTTTTTTCTTTTTATTTTTTTCTGGGTTTTTGAAATGAAGAGTGAAAGAAATGCCTTTAATCAATTCAAATCTTCTATGTTCAATTGGTGGTGGATTATATTCCACTTTGAGATTACTTTATGAATAAAAAATTAGTCCATGATTAGTTGCTAAGTAAAAACTTGAGAGGAGTGAACCAATGGCTGGGCAGATTTTGCTGAGGCTTGAAAAGGGCAATAATTGCAAGATAAAAAGAAGAAAGAGGTGGGGGGGGGGGGGGGTATCTAGGAATCACTCCCAGAACTGGGCATCACACCTAATGTTAGAATTGTATCACACTAATTCAAAGAAGCTATAAAAGCTCTGAAGATTCTCTAAAAACTTGACTCTATTAATTAAAAATCATTACCCGGCTTTTGTTCCTAACCTGCTCTGCTTTTAAATAGCTTGTTTGTGTTGTAAACGCCTACTTTTCCTTTTTCGTTACTTCTGTTTTAGTTTATTATACATTTTTTAAAAATCTTTTATCTAGTTTGTGAGTTTATTTGGAATCCGATAAGCTTACAGTTAGTAGCGGGCCAGTGCTAGATCAGATGATTTGGAAATTTGAGAGATTAAATCTATATTCCTCATTGAGTTAAGACATTTTATTTCGGATTGACTATTGAGTGAGATGGCCCTGTTTGGTTAAGACATTTTATTTCGGATTGACCATATCATTGAGTTAATACATTTTATTTCGTATGTACAGAAGTGAACAGGCTTGCAACATGTTGAGAAGTGCTTAGATGTAGTTGCTACTTTGCAACCTAAGAAGGGTACTGGCGAGGTTCGTTTTTAACTTCAGAAATTTTTAAATATTTCTGTAGTTTGAGTAAACCTATATATAACTGAGCTGTCAACTGAGATTTGAAATTGAGTTGACAGTTTACTGGTGTGAAGGCAGACCTCGTTAGTTTTATTTGCTTATTTTGGTTTTGTACGGATGGATATAATGTGGTCAAGAGCATGATTTCTGTTACTGGATCATTAGCTCTCAATTATTTTAAACATTGATGTTGGGTAAGTGTAGCAGTTGTGTCACATGCACATAAAACCTATGGTATTGGTATCAAATGCGGACCTTCTAGTTTGTGTTGAAAAACTTCAAGCCAATGCTTTTCAGCCCCTCCTATTGTATCGTACATATTCCTATATTTATGTGTTTTCGTATTCTGGTTGCAGGCATTATTAGTTGATTTTGAAGTGTCAGAAGGCATCTATTCCCGAGCATGCATCGAGGATACTGATTCAGTATGTTTATGGCTGGGAGCAAATGTCATGCTGGAGTACTCATGTGAAGAGGTACCCCACTTGTAATCTTAAGATGTTAGCATTTACACACGGACACGAGATTTTAAGTGCTTCAAACTTCAAAATGCAGGCCACTGATCTTCTACAAAAGAATTTGGAAAATGCTAGAGCTAGTTTAGAAGTTCTTGTTACAGATCTACAATTCTTAAGGGATCAAGTGACCATTACTCAGGTATAGTTGGTGTTTCTCTTTTTATGAGTTGTGGTTATTAATTGATTTTAATTTTTTTTTTTAAGAAAAAGAAAAAGAAAAAACCTAAATGTAATTAATAAAATAAAAAAACTATTTTGGAAACAGATGATCCAAACCCGAAACCAAAAAAGCCTGACACTCTGGCATCAATCAGGGATCTGATTGGTCATACCATCTATTATTTAGGTGGTGCATGGACTGCTAGAAAGTTCAATGTTCCTTATATATATATATATATATCTTGTGTATCTATGTAGAGAGTGCTCTTTCCTACTATAGTTGCAGTTGTTGTTTGTCGGGTGAGAGAGATTGCAAGTTTTGTGTCCTGATGAAGAAAACACTGAGGTACTTGGCAGGTGTTGCAGGCCCAAGTGGATATGGATCAAACTCAACAGCTGAGCAAGTTACTCAACAAGATTGTTCTTTCTTACTCCCTTCTTCTCAAGCTCAACTCACTGCATTAGTCACTGGTTAGTCATCTCATCTCCAACCACACACAAACACACAACACATACACAAACTTCTTTATGATGAAGAACAGTGCCCATTTCCCCCCCTTCTGAATCTGGTCTTCATTTAAACATACACATTCTGATCTGTCCATGAGAGAGACTTCATTATATATTTAGAAATGCATCAAGTTTGATATTGTTGCAGAATTTTTATGTTCTTTTTTTTTTCTTCCTATATTTTTATTTGTTTATTTCTTCTTCTTCTTCTTCTTCTTCTTCTTCTTCTTTTTGTAGTTTTGTGAGTTCACAAAATTGAAGTAGGGTTTCAGAGAAAGAATAATATATATATATATTAGAGACATTAGATCTCGAATCGATGTTAGTTGGGCAATCATAAATGTAGTTGAACTTGACATCTATCAGTAGAAGTCCTCTCCACCTCTATTTTTTCTTCGTTAGTAAAAATTGATGCTTTTGATTAGTGATTGTATTTGATGCCCAATCATTTATGTATAGGAGAAAGTAACAGTCTTTTTTTGTTTCTTTTTGTTTGTAGATTTTGACAGATGCTGCCTTACTGAAACGACAAAAACTAGAGATAAGAGGATCTACGTAACAAACTTCAGGTGAATGATCGTATTTCTGTTTTTTCTTCATGCTAAGGCAAGCAAAGAACAAATTTAATGCTGTAAACATCTTTTTCAGGGATCTCGAGCTGAAGTGCTGGAGCAAGAGATCTTGAACTTGCGGAATGACATGCTCAAGGCAGTTTTTTATCGTTATGTTTACTTTTATATTTTGTAGAGTTATGTCTATTTTATTGTATAGTAAGCTCTATTTTAATTGATGTATTTAAAGTCTGAATTGTTGTTATTCTTAGGTATGCAATGCATTGTTTCTTATTTTTAATTTTGTTTTTAAGCTTAGTTTATTTATTATTTTAATAAACATCAATTATTAGTTCTTAATAATTGTTTGACAGATATTTTTGTTGTTCAACCATATAAAATTAACAAAATTAAAAAATTAAAAAAAAGGGCTATGGTGGCGTTTAAAAAACGTCACTATATCCCATCCCAACGGCTAAATTTTTAAAATGTATAAATGTCTATGACGGCATTTTCAAAAACGTTGCTAAATGTCATAGTGACGTCATAGTACAGTTAGTAAGACATTTGGCATATAACGACGTTTTTCAAACGTCATAAAGTTATAGCGACGGCCGCGTCATCGGCGTTTGGTACTAAACGTCACAAAAAGATTTAGCGACATTTTTAGTACTTTTAAAAACGCCGCTAAAAATGAATTTTCTAGCAGTGTAATTCTTAAATGCTTCTTGTAATGTGAAGGGTGGAGTTGGTTTTACTTTTGAAACCAAAACGTGTGTAGTATTTATTAGCTGTATTTCATTGCACAACGCAATGTTGAAGTTTTCTTGAGGTTGTCTGTCTTTGAACACTTCTACCACCCTTCATTAAGTGAATTGTTTATGTATTAATTAATTTCTTTCTATATAAACTCTTATTTTTTGGGTAATTACTAAATAGTTTTGAAATATCATATGACATTATTTACATGGTACTCTAAACCAATCACTTAATAAAAAAATTTATATGTAAGAATTATAACTGATATTTATTAAGTAGTTGAGAAAGAAAAATATAATCATATAAATAATATCACATGATGTTTTGAGAGTTTCCTCTTTTTACATATTTATATGATTTTTTTTTTTTAATTTATTGTTTCATTATGACTTTTCTAAAAAAAAGTCAGCTTCGAATAAAAAAAAATAAGAATTGTTTTTCTTTTGGGAGGGGAGACACTTTCTAATTTTGAACATGAATTATATCGGTTTAAAAAATATGTGGTTTAGTGAGGCGGGCCGGCCGTCGGCAGCCATGGATTTAGCTTTTGCAAGATCAAAGTCATGTCGTTAATTGTGTGCCCCCATGCCACCATCTATATTGAATTGAAGTGGATTCTTTCCTTGCTTTTTAATATTGTATTCTATTTCAACAGCTATGAGATGATGAGATAACTCTATATATATGGATTGAATGTGGTTATTCAAGATCAAAAATTATATTTAATTTTCAAGTATATTGATATAACAATCAATTAAAATATTAAAGATATCGCTTTCTCATATCTTATCTAATCATTAACTAATCATATTACTTACACATCATTAGATTTATAAAATAGATTTAAAAAATGGACTTATATATTATTTTTCTTATGAATTTACTTCGTATAATAAATAAACAAATAATATTTACATTACCTGTCTGTGACTGCATGGATGAAGGAGACAAATGGCAAAGATATAACGCGGCTAGAGTTGTTAAACTATGTGTATGTATAACAATTGAAAATTTTAAATGAAAATGATATACAAATCTGCTTTTTAGATCTATTTTTTAGATTTAATGATGTGTTGATTGATTGATAATTAAAGAATAAATAAGAGAGAATTAACTTCGATATTTTAATTGAGTGCAACATCATTAGATTTAAAAACTAAATTTAATTTTTGAACATAAATAAAAATCCTTAATTTTAAAATACGCGCGGGAGGCGATTTTTCTACATGTTTGTGTAATTGTTCCATTTGTTTATGGTTAATGACAAGAAGAATAGAGACGAGCTTCTTGTTACTACGTCAGTCAAAATTATACAAAAACGAGTTTACTCAATGTAAATAAAAACAAACAATTATGCAGCGGATAAAATAATCATATCATACCTTTCGATGATAGAACCTCGTGGATAAATCACGTGCTTCCAGAGTCTGATAAATCAATCCCAGCAGTGGGGTGATATTACAAAGGTGAATATCACCCACACAAACCACAGTGCAATTGACTTGATCGTTGTTTCTTGAGAGAGAGTCAGTTTATGGGTAGAAAACAAAACCTACGTTGTTTTCTCTCTTAGTTACCCATAACCAATATCAGATATATATTATATTTATCTCATTTATCCATTGGTTAAATGAGATAATATCTGATATCTATATCATCTATCCATATCATGATATGATAGGTATATATCCTGAGTGGCTCATCCAAATAGGTTTGAATTCAAATTCAAAACCCATTTGGATGAGGTTCAAAAGGTTCTAAGGGTCATGCCACATGGGCGCCCAATTTCTAACACTCAAACTAAAAGGATTTAAAAACGGAAAGAAATAAGCTATATAAAATATAATTTTATTTTATTTTATTTATATTTTACTCTCTTTTTTTAATTAAATTTTTATATAAATTTATTAATCAAACATAACGATAATGTCTTAGTCTATCACAAGCAAATTTCATACCGTTTTCTATGATATTGGGGTTATTTGTTGTAGTTTTTAAAAGATTATTATAATTTATTTTAATTTGAAAGTCTGTGTTAGACTGTTTGATATTACTTCTACTTGTAACTTATTAGGCAGAAATAATTTAAATAAATTGATTATTTAAAAACAGTGAAAGTGGTGTTTTTAATTGGAAAAATTGGTCTAAGGTCCTTCTCCCATTTTTTATAATGAAATAGATCCACAATATTAATATTTGATGTCTAAGGTCCTCACAGATAAATTTGATCTCCCTCCCGCTGCTCTTCTCTCTCTCTCTTGTCGATCTCCTCAAAACCCTAGATCTTTCTCTTTCCTTCCCTGCATCTATCTCTCTCGGCTCATGATCACATTCACCATGAGAATCACCATCATCATGATCATAAGCAGCAACATGCTGATCAGCATCTCCATGGAAGCACAGTTAGATCTTCAAGAAGCTTCAACAATCATTCCGTTGAAGTCCACTCAGGGAGAGATTCACATGTTCAAGGAAATCTTCACAACCATGCTCATAGTTCAGATTTTGAAGTCGATCCATCTTCTTCAGAAGATAGCACTTCTCAACAGAAAGAACTACCATCTCACAAAGAAGAAATGCAAAAACACCACCACCACCACATTGACCACAACATGGAAGGCATCTTCTTGTATGTTTTGGCAGATACCTTGGGAAGTGTTGGCATTGTTATTTCAACCCTCTCACTTTGCCTCTCTCTCATACATGTGCTAGTCCATCCATACTCTGTAAAAATGAATTCAGAGAAATTTGTTGGAATAAATTTATGTGATTATTGGTTTTTTTGAAGATGTATTCGGGAATTTCTCTGGAAGATCCATAGAAAATTGGTTAAAATAAACCCAGAGAAATTTGAATTTTCTCTGGTTTATAAATGAACTAGATAAATTTGAATTTGAATTTGAATCCAGAGAAAATTGGTCAAAATGAACCCAGAGAAATTTGAATTTTCTCTGAGTTGAACTCAGATAAATTCTTTGGAAATCCAGAATTTCTCTGGGAATAATTTCTCTGAATTGAAATTTCTCTGGATCAATATTGAGGGACCTTAGACATTATGATCATATTGAATGTCCTTTATGCTATAAAATTTTAATATCAAGGACCCTAAAAAAAAATCCCTTTTTAATTTCTACATTCTAATTATCAGATTTTAACTTAAAAAAATTTTACCAAACAGAACCATTATTTTTGTGCTGGACAAATGAAAAATTGAAACACTGAACCAACTAACTAATAAAGATGAGTTAATGTATTTTACTTGTAAAATTTTTCCTTTTATGATTTGAAACGAAGTAAAATAATTACACTTTCAAGATGACTTTATCAAGGTGCCAAGCTGGATCCATTGTTGATGACCGCTTGAGAAAACGACACACTTGAATATTTTAAAACAGAGAGGGTAATTCATGTTCAAAATTGTATGGTAACCGTTTGGTTTACTTTTTAAAATTTTATTTTATTTTTAAATTACAATTTGGATGAAATAGATTAACTAAACATATTTTTAAAATACAACTTAAAATTACTTTTAAAATTCTTATCTTTTCTTTTTATTTATTTATTTATTATTATTATTATTATTATTATTATTATTATTATTATTATTCAATTAATCAATTACTTTTTTTCTTGTCATCTCTCCTCTCTCCTCTCTCTCACATTCTCTCGCATTCTATATATCAATCAATTTAAAAAAAAAATTATAAATCATCCCAAAACTATTCAAAACTAATAACTAAATAATTTTTTTCTTTTCAAATCATAATTAAAAAAACTCAAAACTCAAGGCACAATTCCACACTCAAATCATAATTCTAAAATTAAATCAAACGGGACCCTAAGTTTCTCGAAAAAAATCTTTCTTGCTTTTTTCTTGGCAGCTAACTTTATAAAAAAAAAGGCATATGAGGGTATGGAAGGACAAAAGGAATATCCAAGTTTATATAAAAACAATTAATTTAATGT